TTTTAATGTGTCCCATATGTTTTGGAGACTTGTGTCGTCATTGTCATTCTTCTCCAAGTATTTTCTAATTTCATCTTTGATCTCCTCATTGATCCTACTGGTTTTCCAGTAGGGTGGGTTTTAGTTTCCACGTGGTAGGTGGGTTTCTTGCCTTCTCCATATGGTTTATTTCTAGTTTGATTCCTTCGTGGTCAGAGAAAATAGTTGGTATGATTTCGATCTTAGTGTATCTATTGATGTTTATCTTGTGACCCAGTATGTGGTCAATCCTAGAGAATGATCCATGTGGATTTTCTGGGGTGCAGTATCCTATAGATGTCCACTAGATCCATGTTGTCCAGGTGCTTGTCAGAGCTTTAGTGTCTTATTTTTTGTCTTGTTGATCTGGGACAGGATCTTTAAGGAGGCCCGGAAGGACAAGGGCCAGGATGACTTTCTGGGGAACGTGGTGCTGAGGCTGCAGGTCGGTGGCATCAGAGGGGCCGTGAAAGGGGCGGGGGGACTCCGGGGCCGTGCTCCCCGCCAGGCACCTCATGCTGCCCATGGCGGGCGTCTGTGCTGGCCCAGGACCTGCACTGCCGGGAGGACCAGTGGTACCCTCTGGAGCCCCGCACCGAGACCTACCCAGACCGCGGCCAGTGCCACCTCCAGTTCCAGCTCATCCATAAGCGGGTAGACTTGGGGCCCCGGCGGGGGCTCCCCGGGGCCGTGCTGTGGGGGGAGGCGGGTGGCACGGCGCGGGCCCTGCTCACCCCACGGCCCCACAGAGAGCCACCGAGGCCAGTCGCTCCCAGCCCTGCTACTCCGTGCACCTCCACCTGCTGCAGCAGCTCGTGTCCCACGAGGTCGCCCAGCACCAGGTACGGGCCCCCCCAGGCGGCCTGCTGGGGCCAGGCTGCGCCCCCTCCTGACATGTCCTATGTCCCTCAGGCGGGCAGCACCTCCTGGGATGGGTCGCTGAGTCCCCAGGCCACCACCGTCCTCTTCCTCCACGCCACGCAGAAGGACCTGTCTGACTTCCACCAGTCCCTGGCGTGAGTGCCCGGCCCGCGGGGCACGGTCTTGGCCCCAACTGCATCTATAGTTTTTCTTTTTACTCATCCAAGAGCCAGCATGTAGGCCAGAGGTGGGGGATGAGAGGACTCCCCAGAGACAGTGGGTGGAGAACACACAGGTTGACTGAAACTCACTGCTGAGGGGAGACCGGGGAGGTCTGCTGTGCCCTGGGGGTCCCGCCCTGGCCGGGGATGGCACTCAGGCCGCAGTGGCTATGACAGCTTTATAGGGCTGAGGCTCGAACCCTGCACCCCAGGGCGGCCCCCCAACTGCCAGCTCTTGTATGCCGAGCCGGCAGGCACTGTCTCGGGTCCCTGGGGCCGCCGCCGCCCGGTTGCAGACCTGTGCGCCGCCCTCCTGGTGCTGAGGGGCTGACCTCCCCAGTGCGGAGATGCGGGGGCCAGGACGGGCCACACTCGAGGTCAAAGACCTTTCAGTGGCATGAGGAGTGTAGACTTGGGGAGGAGGAGCGAAGGGGCGCCTGGGACCAGGCTGGCGCTCGCCTGTGAGGGTGGAGGCTGGCAAGGGGGAGGCAGCTCCCAGGCTCAGGAAAGTAGGCACCCCTGAGAGGGGCAGGCAGGAGCCTGGACACTGGAGCTGCTCAGGCCCTGAGGGTCTAGTCTGACTGCAGGGCCGCAGCTCCTTGCCTGGGGGCCGCTGGGTCCCGCCTCCACTCCCGCTGCCCTAGGCATCAGCAGCCACAGGCCCTCGGGCTCAAGTCCCAAACCAGACACGACACGGAGTCCGCGTTCTTCTGTCTGTGCAGATGGGGGCATCGTGCATTGGGGAAGCGCCCGCGGGAGCAGCAGAGTCCGTGCTTGCCCTCAGCCCCCTGGGGCAGGGGGTCCGCCGGAGACTTGGGGGGCGGGTGCAACAGGAGGGAGGCGCCCCGCGGCCGGGCTGAGGGCCCCTGTCTGCCGCAGGCAGTGGCTGGCCTACAGCCGTCTCTACCAGAGCCTGGAGATCCCCAGCAGCTGCCTCCTGCACCCCATCACTAGCATCGAGTACCAGTGGATCCAGGGCCGCCTCCGGGAGGAGCAGGTGGGCGGGGCGGCGGGGCGGGGCGGGGCGGCGCTGGGGAGCGCTGTGACCTCACGGTCCCCCACCCCGGCTGCAGCTGGAGGAGCTGGCCGCCTCGTTCAGCTCGCTGCTGGCCTACGGCCTGACCCTGGTCCGGAACTTCCGGGCTGTCTTCCCGCTGTCCGTCACCGACTCCCCGGTGCGGCTGCAATCCCTCTTCAGGTAATGCCCCCCGCCCCCCCCCCAGTGGGGCACCTGCGGGAGGAGGAGTGGGGGGCGGGGGCGCAGGCCCCTGGGACCCCGCTCTGCGTCCTCAGGGTGCTGGTGCAGATGTGCAAAATGAAGGCCTTTGGAGAGCTGTGCCCCGACAGCCCGCCGCTGCTCCACCTGGTCACTAAGGCCCTGCGGGTATGGCGCGGCCGCGGGGAGGGGCGGGCCTGGGCCAGAGCCCCGCCCCGCGCTCACGCCCTGCGCCCACAGGCTGGCACCGTCGACTGGTTCCACCTGAAGCAGCAGCACCACCAGCCCATGGTGCAGGTGAGGGCTCGGCAGGGGCCGGGCGGCGGGTGCCTGTCCCCTGGGCCCCCCCCACGTCTCCCCAGCTCCCCCGCACCCCGGCCTCCACTCAGGGCATCTCTGTCCCCTCAGGGCCCGCTGGAGGTGGGCGCGGCCTTGCTGAGCCTGCTGCAGGACGTCATCGGCGACCTGCACCAGTGCCAGCGCACGTGGAACAAAGTCTTCCAGAAGTGAGCAGGCGGCGTGGGGGCGCCGGGCTCAGAGCCCGAGTCTGGGGTCACAGTCAGCTGCCTTCCCTCTAGGGTCCTCAAGATCGATGTCTTCGCCACGGCTTTCTCAGAGCTGCAGTGGCTGGTGAGTGTCCCCGACCCCGCCACGCCCCGCGCGCGGCCCCAGCCCACCCCCCCTCCCTCTGCAGGTGGCCAAGCGGGTCCAGGACCACATGGCGACGGTGCACAGCCCCGTGTCCCCCGAGATGGGCGAGAACGTCTTCCAGCTCTACGTCAGCCTCAAGGAGTTCTGCCAGCTGGGCCAGGGCTCCGTGCAGGGGTGGGCAGCGGCTGCGGGCGCGGGGTGGGGAGGCCGAGGGGCCGTCCCGGCTGAGCCGAGGCTCCCCGCAGGGACCGAGGCCTGGCCCTGGATAGTTTCCACCGCTGGTTCCAGTTAGCCATCCCCTCCTGGCTGCAGAAGACGTACAGCGTGGCCCTGGAGCGGGTGCAGCGGGCGGTGCAGATGGACGAGGTGGGCCGGGCCGCCAGTGTGCTCTCCATCCTGGGGCTGCGGCTGGCGCGGGGGCGGGCCTGGGGCTCGGCTCCCACCTCCGGGACCTTGCAGGATGGGGTGGCCTGACGGGAAGGTGCTCTTGAGGCAGCTGAGGACACACCGTTGCCTCCTGACACCCTCGGGGCTCACTGTGGCTCCCCTTTGCAAACCGAGTCTTGCAGCCTGTGGAGGACTGGCTGGGGCCGGCCTGCATTTCCAGCCCTGAGCCTCTCCCCTGCCCCCAGCTCGTGCCCCTGGGTGAGCTGACCAAGCACAGCACTTCAGCAGTGGATCTGTCCACCTGCTTCGCCCAGATCAGCCACACGGCCCGGCAGCTGGACTGGCCCGACCCCGAGGTGGCCTTCATGATCACTGTAAAGTTCGTGGAGGTGCGGCATCCTCCACCCTTCCGGGGCAACCTTGTGCCTGCCCACCCCGGCGGCCTCAAGGCCCCCCCCAGTGGCCAGGGTGCCCATGCTCCCCTCCTGCAGCCCCCCCATTTGAGATGCCCTCTAACCCACCCAGGACACCTGCCGGCTGGCCCTGGTGTACTGCAGCCTCATCAAGGCCCGGGCCCGTGCGCTCTCTGCGGGCCAGAAGGACCAGGGCCAGGCAGCCAACATGGTAAGGCCGGGCCGCGGCGGGGCGGGCACGGGGCGGGCCGCAGAGCGGCTGCTGGACCCGCATCCTGTGCCCGCCCAGCTGTGCGTGGTGGTGAACAACATGGAGCAGCTGCGGCTGGTCATCGGCAAGCTGCCCGCCCAGCTGACCTGGGACGTCCTGGAGCAGCGCGTGGGGGCCGTGCTGGAGCAGGGGCAGCTGCACAACACGCTGCACGCCCAGCTGCAGGGCGCCC